CTAGGTATAGCTAAGTGATTAGTGAGGAAAAACGGAAAGCTACATATAACCACTAGGTATACTCGAAGGACAGTAACAGATAATATATAACAAGAGGACCTGGGTTCAATTCCCAGCACCCCCATGGTGGCTCCCAACTGTCTGTATCCACAGTCTCATGGGATCTGACACCCTCTTCTGTTTTCTTTGCACACCAGGCACTCACAGATATACACTTAGATGAAACATTAAAAATATTTTAAGAAGAGAATACAATGATGGAAACACGTGAGTAGTTGGAGAATTTTGAGATACTTGTGGGCTGTGACCATGCTGTCTGTCTCCTGAGACTGATCTTAACCTCTGTATTCTATTTGTGTGGTGATTATTGGATGCATTTTGCTCAGTGGAACCTGAATTTAGTTTCTTGGCTATGTCTACATATTGATGATTCTATCTTGGTATGTCTTCAGCTAGGTATCTCCTTTTCTATGGCAAACCCAAATGGTATGGGAACGCAGACACTTTCATGTGCTTTGCTACCAGTGTTTTGAAGGGAAATCTGACAATACATACTTTAAGGTATTTGGACTTCATGAGTCTTCAGTCCTACAGAAAGAACTACAGGCAACTGGAGAAAGCTGTGAGCAGGAGATGTGGTCCTCCCCAGGGAAGACCACACCAAGTGGTTGTCCAGTGCCAGTCAGTCAGCTCGGAAAACATGCATACAAGTAACATTTGGGTTTGACAGGTTATATTTAGGAATATGTATGTATATAAAAATACATATATGCATGCAATAACATTGATAGAAAGAGAAGAAGAGATTGGGAGAGGTATACAAGAGGGATTAGATGGAGGAAAGGGAAGGGCTAAATAGTGTAATTAAAATACATTTACAAAAATAAACAAAAAAGTATTTGGGCTTGATGATAAATATCAAGAGTACTGGTAACTTCTTGGAGGGTAACTGAGAAAGGGCATCCATGTTGACAGTACAATCTAGTCAGTGTGTGTGTGTGTGTGTGTGTGTGTGTGTGTGTGTGTGTGTTTAATATCCTGTCTCTGTCTATAGAAAAACATGTACACTTTATGTATGGGGATAAAAATTCATTTAATAATACGTATTTTGGAACTTTTGAATTAATAGTTCCACTGTAGTATTGTATCTTCTACTAAAAACGATGCAAGATTTACTTCACTTATTTGTAAATTTGAAAACTGGAAACCTTCTAAAATGTCCAATAACAGAAGAGTGGCATGTAAATGACCACCCATCCACTTAAATATCACATTATGATAAATTGCTTACTGCTATTGGAGTATGGTATTTGGTAATCAACATTCATTATGAAATGGAAAACAACAAAGCAAAGACAAAAACAGTACCACCATTGTGCCCTGGTGCTATAGCCATTTTCCTGGTACCCAAAGACAATGACCAGTTGACAGTGGGAACCATTTAAGTTTCATGGTTGAAATGAAACCTTCAACTATGGCTCTCTTGAGTAAAGACTCATTTTGTGGCGTAGACACTGAGTACTAGCTATTGACCTGAAGTAGTCTGCCTAACCTCAATCAGGAATGTGTGGACTTGGAGGTGCTCCATTTTTCTGAAGCTTCTCTGTATCTTTGGTCAACAGAAGTCTGAAAGCTAAGAAGTAAGTGGTAATAATCATTGTACAGAGACAATAGATGTGCATACATATAGGCATGTGTATGAATATGTGTTTATGTATGTTTATGATATGAATATTGTGTGGTGATCCCTTTAAGTATACATGCAGTGTGTGTGTGTGTGTGTGTGTGTGTGTGTGTGTGTGTGTGTGTG